TTTGATTAAACGGGGTTCAGTTCGACAGGAGGCGTGTGCAGTCAAAAGACCGCTAAACACCACTTAGTATTTATCTTCTCACCCACGGAAAAGAATATGGCAAAAGGCCGGTTTTTATGTTACGCAGAGAGGTCGACAGGGAGGTAGCAGCTCGACCAAAACACCACTTAGTATTTATCTTCTCACCGGAAAAGAATTTTTTTGCGGGTTTTCCTGAGCACAAGGCCGATTAAACGGGGTTCAGGCCCTATCTACCTCCCCAAAAAATAGGACGAAACTTTGCCCTTCGGCAAACCTTTGCCCTTCGTCCGGGTTCCTCTTCTTGCTAACGCAGAGGTCGACAGGAGGCGTGTGCAGTCAAAAGACCGCTAAACACCACTTAGTATTTATCTTCTCACCCACGGAAAAGAATATGGCACAAAGGCCGGTTTTTTATGTGGGTTTTCCCGAGCCCGTACAGGCTCGGCCAAAAATATAGCCTTTATCTTCACCCACGGAAAAGAATATGAAGCCGATTAAACGGGTTCAGGCCCTGTCTACCTCCCGGACGAAACCTTGCCCGCAGAGGGTTCGGCAAAGCCTCGTCCGGGTTCCTCTTTTTAGGGCTTTTCCTGAGCTAAGGCTCGCAAAAAATATAGAGGTCGGGTTCAGGCAGGAGGCCTCGGCAAAGTGCAGTCAAGGACCGCTAAACACCACTTAGTATTTATCTTCTCACCCACGGAAAAGAATATGGCACAAGGCCGGTTTTTATGGACGCCCCGTAGGCTCGGCCAAAAATAGCCTTTTGAAGCCGATTAAAGGCCCTGTCAGGAAACCTTTGCCCTCTAAATATGTTCGTTCCCTTTACCCACGCTGAGGGGTTTTTAGGCCCTTCAAAAACCGCTAAACGGGTTCAGGCCACTTAGTTCGGCATTTATGTTCCTCGCAGAGGTCGACAGGAGGCACAAAGTCACAAGGCCGGTTTTTATGGGACAAAACGGGCCCTGTCCACCGGTTTTACCGCTAAACACCACTTAGTATTTATCTTCTCCCCACGGAAAAGAATATGGCACAGGGCCGGTTTTTATGGGTTTTCCCGAGCCTGGGTTCAGGCTCAAAAATATGTTCCTTTCGCTAACGCAGCTTTTGAAGCCGAAACCTGAAGCCGATTAGACGGGTTCAGGCTTCGGCAAACGGCAAAGCCTCGTTCAGGCCCTGTCTCAAAGACCGCTCCCCGGATTTATCGGAAAAGAATATGGCACAAGGCCGGTTTTTTTTTCCCGATGCCCCGAGCAGGCCCTGTCCACCTCCCTCGCAAACCTTGCCCTCGGCAATGCCTTCGCCGATTCTATCTTCTCACCCACGGGAATTCAGGCCCTGCCGGCCAAAATACCTCCCGACGAAACCTTGCCCTTCGGCAAAGTTTCGTTCCTCTCTGCTTACGCAGAGGTCGACAGGAGGCGTGAGACCGCACCCTTAAACCGCACCCACACCACTTGGTTTTTATCTTCTCACCCACGGAAAACGAATATGGCACAAGGCCGGTTTTTACGGGTTTCCGAGCCTGCCCCACGGCTCGGCCAAAAATTCCCTTTGAAGCCGATTAAACGGGTTTCAGGCCCTGTCTACCTCCCCGACGAAACCTTTGCCCTTCGGAAAAGCCTCGTCCGGTTTTAAGTGTGGGTTCCTATAGCTTGAAGCCGATAACGCAGAGGGTTCGACAGGCCCAGTCAAAGACCGCTAAACACCCTGTTCCCGGACGAAAACCCACGGAAAGAATATCGGCAACCTTTTATGTGGGTTTTCCGCTAAACCGTAGGCTTATTTACCCACGGAAAAGAATATGGCACAAGGCCGGTTTTTTAAGCCGTTTTCCTGACGGGCTCGGCCGTGTTTGAAGCCGATTAAACGGGTTCAGTCCTTCGGCAAAGTTCCTTACGTCAGGAGGCGTGTGCAGTCAAAGGTTTAGCATTTATCTTCTCGGCCAGGCCTGGGTTTGCAGTCAAAGACCGCTAAACACCACTTAGACGATTTATCTTCTCACCCACGGAAAACACCACTTAGAATATGGCACACGGGGTTTTTATGGGGTTTTCCCGAGCCCGTAGGCTCGGCCAAAATATAGCCTTTGAAGCCGATTAAACGGGTTCAGGCCCTGTCTACCTCCCCGGACGAAACCTTGCCCTTCGGCAAAGCCTCGTCCGGGTTCCTCTCTGCTAAGAGAGTTCGACAGGAGGCGTGTGCAGTCAAAGACCGCTAAACACCACTTAGTTTATCTTCTCACCCACGGAAAGAATATGGCACAAGGCCGGTTTTATGTGGGTTTTCCCGAGCCGTAGGCTCGGCCAAAAATATAGCCTTTTTGAAGCCGATTAAACGGGTTCAGGCCCTGTCTACCTCCCCCGGACGAAACCTTGCCCTTCGGCAAAGTCCTCGTTCAGGGTTCCTCTCTATTTACGCAGAAAAGTCGACACAAGGCCGGTTTTTGCAGTCAAAGACCGCAAAACGCCACTTTTTCGGCAAAGCCCAACTGGCCACTGCTACTACTTACCCACTTATCTGTGGCACAGTCTATTACAAAAGAATAGGTAAACACCATTGGTATAACAACAACTTAAAAAAAAAAAACTCTCAAAAGAGATAATTTAAAGGTGTGTCTTAAAGAAATGCTGTGTCAACGTCAAACTTTTTGCCTGTAATATCTATACAGGGAACAATGCTATAGCCTGTTCGTTATTGTCGAACTCTCTGCCTTGAGTAGAGGGAAACCCAGACGAGGCTTTACCGGGAGGTAGACAGACCCTGAACCCGTTTATGCGTGTTCTAAAGGAATATTTTTCGCCGAGCTCACAGGCTCAGATAACACACGGTAAACTCGGCCTTGTGCCACATACATCCCTCGTGGAGGGGGGTTAAATATTAACATCTATATATTTTAGTTTCTTTTTTAATATAACTTTGTATTTTTAAGTATAACTTATTTTTAGATTAAACTTATCTTTAAAGTTATTTTTTTATTTATTAATATATTAATTTCATTATATTTTTTTATTTTGAAATGTATAATTAATTTTATTTTATTATACTTTTATTTCTAAACATTTTTTACTCTTTAATAAAACCTATTGATTTTATATTAAATATAATTTATTTTTAAATATAATTTTACTTAATTTTAATATAAATTATTTAAATATGACTTATTTTAAATATAACTTATTTAAATATATCTTATTTTTTTAATATAACTTGTCTTTGGAATAGTACATTTAAGTATGACTTTTTTTATTTATAGACATAACTTTAGCTATATAATTTAAGATTTACTTTAAACCCGTTTTTTATTCCTCTCTTAGTTTCAAATTAACATTTCATTCTTCATATAATCCGAATTTAATGTCAGAAGGTTAATATAAGGTTTACTCTTATACAATGTCTTCCCTTTAAGACCATCCCCTGACTACTCGCTTGTGCCTTTCGTCTGACTAAAACATTGAAATTGTTAAATTCTTTAATCGTCTTTCGACTGTTAATTTTATTTTATTTATTTATTTATTTATTTATTTATTGTAGCTGTCACAGTATATTTCTAATTACGACATGAACTTAGTCTATACCGGAGTTGAATAAGACTGATGAAGTTCGTAGGTTGAAATAAGCTTTTTCCCGCATATGAGGTGAATTTGGATTTTATTTGGTTTGTAATAATAAATACACTGATCACTTTTTGTGAATTAGTTTTAATATTCTATATTACTAGGATCCACTTGGGTTATATACCAACGGATTTATTACATCTACGACATATATATTATATATATATATATATATATATATATATATATATATATATATATATATATATATATATATATTAGTGGTAAATATACACATACATATGCAAAATATATAAATATATATACATAGGTGCTTACACATATATGTATATTTTTTTAATAAAAAATTCCAAGAGGATAGAATCCAGGTAGGACTGTTACCCCCCTCTTTAGCTTTAACATTCGTCCCACACTCTCATACTTACACTCTCTCTAAATTCTGTTTTTATTTCCGGAGTTGTTTTTTCTATTTTCTTTTAGAATTTGTAGGTCTGATGAATTGGATCGTATTTACGATTCTAATGGAATAAATTAAGACCATGGAATATTAGTGTTTTAAGCCTTTTTTATTATATCCTTACTCTGTCCTAGACATTGAGTTCTACCTGGATTCTTCCTCTTGGAATTTTATTCAAAAAATATATATGTATGGGTATTTATATATTTTGCATATGTATGTATATTTACCACTAATATTATCTATCTATCTATCATATATATATATATATATATATATATATATATATATATATATATATATATATACATATACAATATATAAATATATATATACAATATATATATATATATATATATATATATATATATATATATATATATATATATATATAAATATATATATATAATATATATATATATATATATATATATATATATATATATATATATATATATATATATAGCTACAATATATAAAAACAAATCTTAAAAAAGCATTTATTTTACGAAACGAATATTGTTTTCAACATAATCTTCTTTCTTGACAATCCATGTACTTCCGTTGTGAATATTAATTACACATGTTGAAGATTATGCAGTATTTTATTATACAGTGAGTATTTATTATACAGTGAGTATTTCATTATACAGTGAGTATTTCATTATACAGTGAGAATTTCCGGTCATAATTCAGCTATTTCAATTTACTGACTTTGTCTACATACATATATCAATTTGTGTATATGTGTGTGCGTATGTATACGTGTGTTTATTTTAGGTAATTTCCTTGTTAATGCACTTAATCCACTGATGAATATTAATCACACTTTTTGAGCATTATACAGTAAAAATATCGGATCAAATGTTTATTGATAAATTTGTGAAAGGTTGTGTGATTATTGATATGCTTTCGTTTATAAGGAATGAAAAAAAGAAGGCGAATAGCTAACAAAAGAGAAAAGAAGAAGAAGAAGAAGAAGAAGAAGAAGACGAAAAGTGGGGCGTGTAGGGAACTAAGAAGAATAAGGAGAGGAGAAGTGTGAGGAAATAAGGAGGAGGAGGAGTGTGGGAAATTAAAGAAGAGGAGAGGTTTTTGGGAGAACTAAAAGGAAGAGAAGGAGGAGGAGGGGTTTGGGGAGTCTAAAGAAGAATACGAAGGAAGAGGGTTGTAAGAGTGTGTGAAACTAAGAAGAGTAGTAGTAGGAGGAGGAGGAGGAGAAATTAGAGAAGAAAAGAGAAGGAGAGGAAGTGTGTAGGGAACTAAAAAAAGAAAGAAGAATCCGGAGGTGGGGAATTAGGAAGAACAGCGGGAGGAGGAGGGCGAGTGTGGGGAAACTGACAAGGGAAGAGCGGAGGGGTGTGGGGAACTAATAAAGAAGACGAAGAAGATTCTAACACTCACGCTCTTAAAGAAGAAAAAGAACTACGAATGATTATTTTAGAATTGAACACACACACTTAGAAAGAAGAAGAAGAAGAAGAAGAAGAAGAAGAAGAAGTTGCGATGTAGCGCGGGGGGGGGGAGAGACAGAGAGAAGGAGGCAGGAGCCAACAAATTGATTCTGATTTGCATTGCTTGAGATAAAGTCGAAAACATATTCAAAGCAAACGAGATTTAAAATGAAATTAAAAGAAAAGAAAACAAACGTAATTTAAAAGATAAAATAAATAAAACGAAATACATGCGAAAAAAAGTACGTTTTCATAATAGCCATTTATATACAGGTCTAAAAAAACATTATTGAGATAAAAGACGCTAATTTTTGCTTGTTGAAGAATTTCAGAAAATGAAGGAAGCAGAAGATACTAAAAGAACGGAAAGAAACAACAAAATTACAAATACAAAAACAAATTTAAACTAAATAAATAATATCGATTTTAGTTTTTGGTTTGTATTTTCCAAAACAAAAAATCCAAGTCGGAAGCTTTATTATAAAACGCATGAGAATAGATAAAACTATTGTTGATATTGTCGATATAATTTCGGCAAGTTTGGCACAAGATCAAAAATACTGGCTGACAAATGAGGACCGAAAAGATAATATACCAATCTCTTTTATGCACTGCGTTCCTTCAGGATGTAATCGACAATGACTCTCCCCAATTCTCTTTTGATTCCCGAAGAAACTTTTCAGATTTTACAAGACCTTTGAAACCTTGCTCTTTATTTTGGTTTGGGTTGTTTTGTTTTACGGCATATCAACACCTCAATGGGTTATTTAATGCCGACATAATTTTTATTGCTGTTAATAGTTTGTTTTGTCAAAAATCAGTTTCTGGTAATATTTTTCCTACAAAAATGTATTGCTGGTAATAATTTTTTTTCAAAAATATTACCGATATTTTTTCCTCAAAAATATATAGCTGGTAATATTTTTTTTTTCAAAAATGTATTGCTAGTAATATTTATTTTTTAAAAACCTACTGTTGGTAATATTTTTTTCAAAAATTGTATTGCTGGTAATTTTTTTTTTCTTCAAAAATTTATTGCTGGCATTAATTTTTACAAAGTATTTCTGGTATTAAAACCCATTTTTACACTTTCATAATGTTTTTATCCCAGTTTGAGGGTTAACTATTTTCCCATAGCTGGGACCCTAACAGGTGTTACCACCCCGGGTCTGGGTGAACCTGGGAACATCAGATTGTTGCTGAAATAATTCTTTGTAAGTGCGTAGTTAGTAATTAGTATATAATTAGTATATATATTAGTATTAGTGTCAATTGACACTTCCAGTTACCTTGATCTAACCACTATCCTTCTCCTCATCCTTTCTTCTATCACTCCTATCTGATCTCGCTCCAAATCTTCCGCAACCCCCTGCATCCTAGGGGCTTCACGCCTTGCTCGGGGCATAATGCTTAAAAAAATAATATTAGTAGTATATGTAGGATATATAATGTCTAAGCTTGGACTTGGTAAAGCAACGATTGTAGTCGTCAGGAAAGTATTCTTTGGGGAATCTGTTCCACAAAGTGAGTTCTGGCGGGGGGGGGAGAAACTGTGGAGAAATTCTTCCTTACTAATGCTATCCATTCACACAGAGTCCTTATGTAGGCTACTTTAGTTGATCGAGTTAAAAAGTTGTTTATGATTTTACGATAAACCTCTAAGAAATTGGAAGCCAAGAAATCTTTGAATGCAATTTCGGCTTTTCCTTTGCAACTAAATGTCTTTGGGCTAAAAATAATGTCAAGATGGTTGAAAAAGTGGTAGGCAGTGAGAAAGATATCAGTGGATTGTGTTGGTTTTATCTCAGTCTCGTATCCAAGGTGAATGATCTTCTACCGTCACTCTGTCGATATTAGACCGAGCATTGTCATGAAGCGAAATTAGACCTCATCGGTTAACAACTGCTGGTCGCATTTTGCTTAACTGAACTAGTATTCTCATCCAGTTCCTGACACTAAACTTTGGTAGCAATGCTTTGGATAGATTCCAGAAAGCTCTAATGGATAAAGCCAATAGTGGATCATATATATATATATATATATATATATATATATATATATATATATATATATATATAAAAACGTGAAGTCAACACTTAGAGGCGTCAGTCTGTTTCATGCTATATGCAATCGTCAGCCACATGTTTCATGCTATATGCAATCGTCAGGCCTGACGATTGCATATAGCATGAAAAAAAACCCGCCTCTTTACTGTTGACTTTGCGTTCACTTTTATATTTACATCTATCTCTGATATTGAGCACTTTATCCCATAAATATAGCACACCTTAAGACTACATTTCTTTATTATATATATATATATATATATATATATATATATATATATATTGCATCTATAATAATAAAAATAATAATATCTTTGTGCATCTATTATATTAATATAATAGAATACAATTAAAAAGGTTTATTTTAAAATCGGATATTACTTTCACAAAGAGCCTAATACTATTGTTCAGTGTATACTCAGTGTGCGTCACATATTTGAGAACAACATTCTGATAGACCTTGAGATAAAATTAAGAGTTAACATCTGCCGGCCGCATTTTGCTTAACTGAACCAGTATTTTCATCCAGTACCTGACACTAAACTTTGGTAGCAATGCTTTGGATAGATTCCATAAAGATCTAAGGGATGATAACGTCAATATTGGATCACCAGACTGTCACCATAATCTTCTATTGTTGCAATTTCGGTTTTGGAAAGTGTTTCGGTCCTTCGTCAGGATCAAGTCTTTGAACACATCGTTTACGATTGTCATAAAGGATCTGTTTCTTATTACAAGAAACAACTATCTTCATGTGGAATCTATTTACCGACTTCCAATCCCCTGAAGAAGGCCGGAGCGTACAACGGCTAAAACGTTGTGAATTTGGCAATGAAAATGAGGGTAACAGTTCGAATAATGTAAATAATGCAAGTAATTTTTTGCTTGCTTTTTATTAATTTTGTTCTGTTCTTTTTTTTTTTTTTTTATTGCAAAATTACTGTTTGTTGGGGAGTTCTGTTACCTTGCATTTTACCATGACTATTCACTTCACAGCTGATGACGAGTGTATATAAATCATGTTTAAATTAGCCAACCTTAAACCTCTATAAATTTCTGCCACCGACTTATACGTTTATTTATTACTTTACGATAAATCTCTAAAGATTTGAAAGCCAAGAATTCTTTGAATGTCATGGAATGTCATTGGTTTAAAGAAATTGTCTTGATGCACGCAAAAGTGTTAAAGGGCGAGATACCAAGGGTATGTTTTGCTTAATTGGGCGTGGTAGTTTCGTATCGTGAAGGAACTTCTGCCATGTCATTGTCGGAATAGAAGGCCGAGCATTGTCATGAAGCGAAATTAGACCTCATCGGTTAACAACTGCCGGTCGCATTTTGCTTAACTGAACTAATATTTTCATCCAGTTCTTGACACTAAACTTTGGTAGCGATTCTTTGGATAGATTCCAGAAAGATCTAAGGGATGATAACGTCAATAGTGGATCACCAGACTGTCACCATAATCTTTTATTGTTGCAATTTCGGTTTTGAAAAGTGTTTAAGTCCTTCATCACGATCAAGTCATTGAGTCGATTGTTTATAATTGTCATAAAGCATTTGTTTCTTATTACAAGTCACGATTTAACTAAGAAATGAATTATTCGAATTTCGCAGATGCGGCATCGAACATAACTTCAAAACGTCGAACTCTTTGACTTTCGCTATCTTCATGTGGAACCCATTTACCGAGTTTCTTCATTTTACCAATTCTCTTGAGATTATCCGATATTGTTGATCTGTCGACACCCATTATCTGAGACATTACCCTGAAACACTGACGTGCGTTTTCATTAGATTATTTGTGTTGTTAACTGTCAATTTCAGATGGATGTCCTCTACCACCCTGATCTTCAAGATTTGCATCCTTCACCCCCCCAAGACTCTGTTAATGCAGTTGGCAGTTCAAGAAGCATTATGGCAAAGATTGAACTCATTCAAAAAGTCAACGCACCTTTTTTCTTCTCAAGTTGAAGATGAGGGATATATAATGTTTTAAGTTACATTCTGAAAGAGACCGATATCAAATTAACAGGGAAGACACTTTAATCATTAGAAATGAGTAATATATATATATATATATATATATATATATATATATATATATATATATATAATCGAATCGTGAGATAACGCGATCTCTCCCTGAAACTGTAATTAATATCCGCTCATCAGAGTTGTTATATAAGCCGCAGTTTGGCTCTGAGGGTGTTGAACAAAAACAAAATGTAACTGAGCAAGCATCTGCAGTAGGGATTAGGTAGGTGGCCTAGTAGCGTCGGATACGAATGGCTGCGCCAATTACTTCCTGCTTTCCATTTTCATGGAGGTCATTTTCTGTAATCAGTTTTCAAGCAATCTGACCGCTCAAACTATTACCCTATTAACCCATTAACTGCCATTATTTTAATGCACATTTTTGGCCCAGACAGGTGTCTTAGGAGATTATTTATTCCTTATGTTTAATTTCAGTAGTTACCATTGTCGTTTTGATAGAAACTAGAATATCAAATATATATATATATGTGTGTGTGTGTGTGTGTGTATAAAACATCAAAAAATAATATTGATTAAAAATAATAAAAAAACACTTTTTAAAATAGTCATTATTTTTCTATTCGTGAAATGTAAAATTACGACAAAAATTGTCTTCTTATGGCTAATAATAAAAACTTTAAAAGTTAAATGTAAAATAAACCTCTGCAAATGCAATGTATGTAAGTAATTCAATGTAAATACAAGGAATAATATGTAGTGAGTTTAATTTTAACAGATCCCTAAATAGGGCTCATGGCAGGTAATGGGTTAGTGGCTTACGAGTTTTTGGCAAATTACTAGAGGCTCCAATCAACGCCGAATTGATGAGGCATCTTACTCAACATGACCTCCTTTCGAATAAACAAGACGGTTTCGATTCTTGCCGGAGAACACATATTTTCTCCGAAATTTCTCGAACATTCACACCGGTAAATATAATTAATACCGTTTAATTAAAAGACAAAGCATAAGTGTATCCATAAAAATAATAGAAAATAAATTATTTTCGGATTTAATCCATTTCCTCTGATATATTCTATTGACAATCTCTTTAAAATCGTGTTTAACACAAGCATAATAATAATAATATTCGTTTAAATTAGGATCTCCAATCTATTTATACATTTCTTTTTACGACTATATGGCGTTGAAACACTATTTCTCGTACGATCATTAAAATTTAGCAATTGTATATACAATCTAAAAATATTCCTTCATCGCTTTCATTCTTTATTCATCAATTTTCTTCGCCATTTCTTCTTTTCATCTCCATCTCTTTCTTCTTCATTCCTTCTCTTCTTCTTAATTTCTTTCCTTCTTTATTCCTTGTTTAGTTCTTTATGTCTTTCCTTCTTCATCCATGTTTTCTTCTTCATCTTTTTCTTCTTCATTTCGTGTTTCTTTCTTCATCGCTTTCCTTCTCCATTCCTTATTTCCTTCCTCTTTTCTTTCCCTGTTTCTTTCTTCTTCTTTCCTACATCTCTTTCCCTCCCCATTCCTTGTTTTCTTCTTTTTCTCTTTCTTTCTCCATTACTCGTTTCCTTCTTCATCTCTTTCCTTCTGCATTCCTTCTTTTCTTCATCATTTTCCTCCCCCCTTACTCATTTCCTCTTCCTTTCTTTCCTTCCCATGTCCTTTCCTTCATCTCTTTCCGTCTTCTTCTCTTTCATTCATTACATAGATGGCTGTCTACTTGGAGATGCCAACTGTTATAACCTTGGATGTGCGGCAAGAGTACTGGACTAATGGCTATATATATATATATATATATATATATATATCATACTTATTATAAAACCCAGGTTGTGTGTGTGTGTGTGTGTGTCTGTTCGTTTATATATTGGATCGGATTTCCTACATTTTTTAACCGATTTCAACAAAACTTCACAGGACTACGTAAAATTACCTTGCGGTGGTTCTGACAGTGCCAAAAATTGGAAAAACACAATTGTTTTTGCACGAAATCAATTTGAAAACACGATTAAGAGGCATCGCGAGAATGAAAGGGGGACAACTTATTATAAAACCCAGGTTGTGTGTGTGTGTGTGTGTGTCCGTTTATATGTGGGATCGGATTTCCTACATTTTTCAACCGATTTCAACAAAACTTGACTTTTTTCTAGCAGTTAGTGTTTCTTATTGTCTTGCACACTTTTTTTCTTTATTTTTACATTCAGAATGCTTTAAAAATTCCATTTACAACACAATTGTTTATAATAAAATTCTATTCAATCGGTAGAGACTCATAACGATTGAAAACAATGTTTTTGTTTGAGTTTGGGTTTGACCAATTCGTAAAAAAAAAATAAATAAATAATTAAGACATGCGTGTCCGTCAACCTTAAACAATAATCTTTCTTAATTTTATTTTCAGTCTTTATGATGGTCGATACTTGATCTATATCTTACTTTTACATCCCCGGGCAACGCCGGGCTCTACTGCTAGTATATATATATATATTAACATGGCTATATCTATATCGCGATGTCACATCGGTTCTTATCCCATCGAAACATCGAGCCGGGTCAGTAACTAGATGGGTAACCACTTGGGATACCCGAGGTTCTAAGCTGGCATTTGCCCTTAGCATAAAGGGCTTACGTATACATCACTTTGAAGCACCGGTTAAGCAATGTCGAGCGTGTTCTGCACCGAGATGGATGAACGCTTGGGGATCCAAGAAGTTACTTACAAGGAGTTTGAATTACGTCACAGTGATCTTTTTTTCACAGACGGTGACCAGGTATACTGTACAGTCGATAAAATCGAAAACAAACAACGCGCATGCGCGAAATTAAAAAAGATATTTTCTTCATTTTCTAATACTCTGAAAAAGAGGCCGTATCGTCTCAGTGTCTTTTTAACGTCTTTATTTTGAAAAGATTCATTATGTTTCAGACAATTGATCTCATCTTTCATGACGTAATTGTCTCAAAAATCTTTATCGCGAAGACTTGTGACAACGTCAGATGCTATTTATCATGTTGCTTTATTTCTTCCAATCTCGGCCTCGTTTCAGTTTTGCATTATTGGCGGGTCTCTTTTAATTATTTACCGTCTGCAAATCTTGATTTCTGCCGTTGAAGACGAAACGTAATTTTGTTCGCTTGGCGCGATCAGGTAGAAAAGGCCTCCAAGTTCCATATGCTCGGGTGACGCTGTTTCTGAATTGATTCAGCTGGCTCAAGGATACAAAAAAGGAAGCATAATTATGAGGTTAAAGTTGGAATAAATACTATCATACAACAAATAGTTTTTATTTTCACTCATTCTAACGACTATCAGTTGTTGATAGCATTGTTTATTCTTTCTTATGTTAAACACGATTTTGAAATACACATTGGGGGGTAGAGCAGCAGCTTTTCAACTTCATGGAGTCCCAAATGTTTAATTTTAAATTTGGCGGAAATTTAGAAAAAAAAATAAATAAAAGAAAATATAAATACATTTATATAATAATAATAATAATAATAATAATAATAATAATCGGAAAACTTTTATTTTTTAATATGAAATGCACTCATTAAATGTAACAAATTTATAGTGTAATAATTTAAATAAAACAAATTGAAAATTTGAAGTTTATTCAAGTTTTACACATTTTTATTGTGATATTTTTTCACTTTGGTCGTCCCGGGATTTGACGTTTTCAAAGTCCACTAATTTTTTTTTTCTTTTTAATATTTTGCAAAAATAGTTTTCCAGTATGAATGCTTATCTGATGTGTAAGCCGATTTTTGAAGATGCCGCCATTACTCTGTTGCTATACCATGGAGAAAATTATACTAGTAAAGCATCCAGTAACTAGTTATCAACAGTAATGGTAAGAAAATATTTAGTAACAAGGATTGAACATGACGTTGCAAGTTTTGTTAGGTTATACTAAGGCTGGATGATGTCACGTTTGTGTACTCATGTTTACTTCAAGATTACATAAGGTCTTAAACATATATCAGTTATGCACCATGCGTGATATACGCGTAGGCGGTTTTGTATCGAAATATACATGACTGACGAGGCAGATTTTTTCCTGCAGTAGGTAGGTATTTTTTTCTGCGGTAGACCAGTTGTCATCCAAGGCTATATAACCCGATCTGTCCTACTATTTACCCATAGCAGGTGGGAGAAGAAGCGGATTCATACCTTTCCCAAGGGTATTAGCACGTAAGTGAATTTCAGTCAGTTATGTGCCAGACGCGTAGGCGATCATGTATCTTTCGATACATGACTGACGAGGCAGATTTTTTCCTGCAGTAGATTGCCATTTCTTTCTGCGGTAGACCATCCAAGGCTACAGAACCGGTCTGTCCTGCTATTTATCCATAGTTGGTGAGAGAAGAAGAGGATTCATATCTTTCCCAAGGGTATTAGCACGTAAGTGAATTTCAGTCAGTTATGTGCCATACATGACATACGCGTCGGCGATCATGTATCGAGAGATACATGACTGACGAGGCAGATTGTTTCCCGCAGTAGGTTGACATTTCTTTCTGCAGTAGACCAGTTGCCATCCAAAGACATAGAACCCGGTCTGTCTTACTATTTAGCCATAGATGGTGGGGAAAGAAGAGGATTCACACCTTTCCCAAGGGTATTAACACGTAAGTGAATGCAATGGATTCGACTGGAATTCGAACTCGGCTCTCCGATTTCTCAACCCGAGCCGCTATCTATATAATAATGATAATATATAATAATAATAATAGTAATAATAATAATACAGTAGAACCCCACATATCCGGAATCCCTCATATCCGGAGTGCCTCATATCCGGAATCCCTCATATCCGGAGTGCCTCATATTCGGAAACCTTCATATCCGGACATGATTTTGATGTGTATATTTGGGTGATATGTAACTGATTTGAAATTTCTTATTTTTCAGGAAATTTACTTTGGATAATTGCTTATACTTATTTCACCCTAATGGCTTGCATTGGTGCAAAAGATGATGGGAATAAGAGGAAAAGAACAACATTGGAGTTATTGTAAAAAGTGAAAATTTTAAACAGACTAGACGCTGGTGAAAGTTCTTTGCAACTAATGGCTGAGTTCAACATAGGAAAGTCAACATTGGATGATATAAAATCTTCCAAAGAAACTATTCTCCAGCGTTCACACTGTCACAATGAACAAGGAAATAAAAAACATGAATGTGATGAAAACTGGATTGAAATTGAAAAAAGCTATTGAAAAGGCTATCAGTTTTATGGAAAGAAAGCCAGCATTCAGCTATGATTGCAATAACGCACGCAGAGTTGAAAATTGTCTCTCGTTTAAAAATTTCAAGAAGAAAAACAAAACGAAATGCGGAAAAAAGTTGAGAATGACATTAGAAGAGAAAGAATCATCAAGCAATCGCCATTAAAAAAAATCCTCGTTGCATTATTTGTTTTGCATATGTGGCATATTTAATTTAATGAATTTTCATTAACATTACATAATTTATTTCTTTTATTTTAAAATCAAATCCGTTATATTTTACGGAACATTCGCTTATTTTGTTTACTATAGAACATTGAAAATAGCAACGTTTCAGCCGTTGTACGCTCCGGTCTTCTTCAGGTGGTTACAAAGTCGAACTGAACCCTTTATTTCGCTCACTGGGGTAGCCTGTTCTAATTCCACGTGTCATGTTTAATGGATGTCAGTTATCAGTTATCTCCTGCTAATTTCCCTCTGAAAGTTCTCCACTGCCTTAACAGCGGATAAATGCGTTAGTTAGATCCAGTGACAGGACCCAAAAGTGTGAGTTCAATACCAGGTTAAGGCAGTGGAGAACTTGGAAAAGAGAATTAACAGGAGATAAATGATAATTGACATCCATTAGAAATGACACGTGGAACTAGAACACTCTACACCAGTGAGTGAAATAAAGGGTTCTGTTCGACATTCTGAACCACCTGAAGAAGGTGGAAGCGTACAACGGCCGAAACGTTGTAATAAATATGGCGACAAATTTGGGGACAATAGTCTGAATAATGTAAATAGTGTACATAATACCTCATCTCGGAAATATAGACAGATATTGAAAATAAATGTTAAACCTGATCTCAGTTCTTTTATTTTAATCTATATATAATCACTTCCTCATATCCGGAAGGCCTTTTTAGTCCAGCTGTCAGGGATTCTACAGTAATAATAATAATAATAATATTAATAATAATAATAATAATTATCCCTAGGATTGGTTGGAAAAGATTCCAGTAGACTAATTGAAGGGATTCCTGCAAGCCCATGCCTCAAAGAGATACAAAAATTGTTCTGAAAAGTACAGCCCACACTTTACGAAGGGCTTTAACTATGTAATTTTTTTTTTCGTCAGTTGAAAGTTTCATGATGCCATTTCTAACCTTAGGTCTCTGGGCGGGACCCGGAAAGAAATGTGTAAACGCCAGAAATCAAAGGAAATAAAAATAAAAATAAAACTAATGACGAGAAGTTGAAGAAAAAGCAAGACTAGAAAAAAATGAAGTTGCAAATGATAAAAGCAAGAAACTAAACGACATCAAAAGTCTCGTCAAAAACGAGATTTCGTGGTCGTTTCTATCGTCAGTACAAGTCAGACGAAATGGGTGATCAGCAAGTTATTCCTTGACCCATTCATACCTCTGTCCGTCCATCCAGCCGTCTCTCTTATCATTTTCCTATTGATCAAATTTGATTTAGATCTCATATTTCCGACGATCATGTTGATCGCTTATCTCCTGGGGTGTCTGCAAAAAATTGATCCAAAGCGTTCATACTTGTATTAAAGTGTCAATTTTCACAATCTCTTTCGCTGCACCTCCCCTAACCAGATTCACTCGAACAGAAAGGAAAATTGAAAGTACACTTAAAGCCGTAATGGAAAGCAGGAAGAACGTTATATTAAATGTAAGAAGAGAGAGTATTTGGTCGTCAGCAAAAGAGACAACTTATTATATGAGTTACATAACGGGGACGGGAAAGAAAGTAAAGTGGGTTTTGCAGTAACGCCGCGAGGTTATTGCTCTCCACAACTTCTTATATTTTGTATTGTTTGTTTATGTACTGTCTTTTCCACTACCATTTATTTTTTTTTTGGTAGCCATTTACAAAACCTAGTTAGGTCGTTAATTCGTTGTTTTATTTTGGGATTTAAGATGTCATATAAATGTCAAATTTTGTAAGACACTTTTCGCTATCAATGGTCCGAGAAATTCCAATTGTTTCTGATTCTATGTGTGTCTTTTTTGCTTCCATTTTATAAAAACTTCCCATAACAACTGGAATAATTCTGACAGAATTCATTGAAAGCTGCATAAGACGGGAAGGTAACAATATGGCGATAAAGAATTTTATTTTTTATTTTTTTTACAAAAATGGCGTTTGCGTTTTTTTTTTCTTTTAATTATTTCCCCATCCCAAGCAAGGCAATAAAGCCACTATGACACAAAGGTTTACTGAGTACGAAAGAATAAGGAAAAAGAGAAACATTACTAAGATAATGGCTCGAAATTGGAAATCAAAGAACTGAAATATTATTCTAGTCGGGTTAGAAGGATGAAAGCATGGGGATCCAAGAAGTTACTTACAAGGAGTTTGAATTACGTTACAGTGTTCTTTTTCTCACAGACGCTGACCAGGTATACTGTACAGTCGATAAAATCGAAAACACACAACGCGCATGCGCGAAATTATATATTTTCTTCATTTTCTAATGCTCTGGAAAAGAGGCCGTTCCAGTGTCTTTTTGACGTCTTTATTTTGAAAAGATTCATTATGTTTCAGACAATTGATCTCATCTTTCATGACGTAATTGTCTCAAAAATCTTTATCATGAAGACTTGTGACAACGTCAGATGCTATTTATCATGTTGCTTTATTTCTTCCAATCTCGGCCTCGTTTCAGTTTTGCATTATTGGCGGTTCTCTTTTAATTATTTACCGTCTGCAAATCTTGATTTCTGCCGTTGAAGACGAAACGTAATTTTGTTCGCTTGGCGCGATCAGGTAGAAAACGCCTCCAAGTTCCATATGCCCGGGTGACGCTGTTTCTGAATTGATAAGCCTAGCTTCAGCTGGCTCAAGGCTACAAAAAAGGAGATACTTACGTGGAAATCACCTTAGGAAATGGTAAGAATACACCTATTCAACTTTCAGCAATGGGCGAATTAGTAGAACTTGTTAGTAGAATCTAAAAATATTCCTTTGACCGTTTTCATCACTTTCCTTCTCAATTTCTTCTTTTCTTTATAATTCCTTTACTTCTTCCTTTCTTTCCTTCCCGCGTCCTTGCCCCCATTCTTCCTCTATTTCCTTCTTCTTCTCTTTCATTCAGTACATTGATGGTGTGACTTCTTACAGATACCAAGTGATGGATGTGCGGCGAGTGTAATTGACTTACGACTATATCAGGATGACACACCGGTTCTCGTCCCATCACCGACGATAAGAAATATCGAACCGGGTCAGTACCTACATGGATGGCAGCTTGGGATTCCGGGCGTTGTGAGCTTGGATGTCCGGGTGGTATAAAGGGCTTTGAAACACCGGTTAAGCAATGTCGAATGTCCCCAATACCTAGATGGGGGACCACTTGGAGAACCAAGATTGGCTCTGTGGCTGTTGTAATTAACTTAGAGCCACATCACATTCACACATCGGTTCTTCTCCCATCACCGAAGAAAAGCAACATAGACCTTGGTCAGTGGCTGGATGGGTGGACTTTAGCAGTTCCAGCTGCTATAAACTTGGATTTAATACTTTTTTTTCTTGTTACTTTCTTCTCTTTCCTTCACTATTCCTCTTTTCCTTCTCATTATTCATTCCACCTTCTTTGATTACTTTGGCACCATTTTCCATCGTTATTCCTTGTTTCCTACTTTTTCCTTCATTTCTTTCTCTTCTTCTACTCGTTCTTTCTTCATTCCTTCTGCTTCTCTTTCCTTCGTCATTCCTTGTTCCCTTCCACTATTTCTTTCTTCATCCCTTGCTTCCTTCTGCCTCTTTTTCCTACTTCATTCTTTGTTTTCTTCCACTCTTTCTTTCTTCATTCCTTGTTTCTTTCTGCCTCTCTTTCCTTTTTCATTCCATGCTTCCTTCTGCCTCTCTTTCCTTTTTCATTCCTTGTTTCCTTCTGCCTCTCTTTCCTACTTAATTTCTAGTTTCCTTACATCTTTCCTTCTTCATTCCTTGTTTTCTTCCACTTTTTCTTTCTTCATTCCTTGATACCTTTTGCCTCTCTTTCCTTCTTCATTCTTTGTTTCCTTTCTCTCTTTCCTTCTTCATTCCTTGTTACCTTCTGCCTCTCTTTCCTTTTCATTCCTTGATTTTCAGCCTCTTCCTTCCTTCATTCTTTGTTTCCTTCTGCCTCTCTTTCCTTCTTCATTCCTTGTTTCCTTCTGCCTCTCTTTCCTTCTTCATTCCTTTTTTTCCTTCTCCTCTTTTCCTTCTTCATTCCTTGTTTCCTTCTGCCTCTCTTTCCTTCTTCATTCTTTTTCCTTTCCTCTCTTTCCTTCTTCATTCCTTGTTTCCTTCTGCCTCTCTTTCCTTCTTTGTTCTTTTTTCCTTCTTTCTCTCTTTCCTTTTTCATTCCTTGTTTCCTTCTGCCTCTCTTTCCTTTTCATTCCTTTGTTACCTTCTGCCTCTCTTTCCTTTTCATTCCTTGATTCCTTCTGCCTCTCCTTCTTCATTCCTTGTTTCCTTCTGCCTCTCTTTCCTTCTTCATTCTTTGTTTCCTTTTCTCTTCTTTCCTTCTTCATTCCTTGTTTCCTTCTGCCTCTCTTTCCTTCTTCATTCCTTGTTTCCTTCTCCTCTCTTTTCCTTCTTCATTCCTTGTTTCCTTCTGCCTCTCTTTCCTTCTTCATGTTTCCTTCTGTTTCTTTTTTCTTCTTCATTCCTTGTTTCCTTCTGCCTCTCTTTCCTTCTTCATTCTTTGTTTCCTTCCTTCTTCTCTCTTTTTTCCTTCTTCTTTCCATGTTTCCTTCTTTCTTTTTTCTTCTTCATTTCTTTGTTTCCTTCTGCCTCTCTTTCCTTCTTCATTCTTTGTTTCCTTCTGCCTCTCTTTCTTCTTCTTTCCATTTTCCTTTTCCATTTTTCCTTCTTTTTTTTTTCTTTTCATTCCTTGTTTCCTTCTGCCTCTCTTTCCTTCTTCATTCCTTGTTTCCTTCTGCCTCTCTTCCTTCTTCATTCCTTGTTTCCTTCTGCCTCTCTTTCCTTCTTCATTCCTTGTTTCCTTCTGCCTCTCTTTCCTTCTTCATTCTTTGTTTCCTTTCTCTTTTTTCTTTTTTCATTCCTTGTTCTCCTTCTGCCTCTCTTTCCTTTTCATTCCTTGTTATCCTGCCTCTCTTTCCTTTTTCATTCCTTGATTCATTCTGCCTCTCTTTCCTTCTTCATTCTTTGTTTCCTTCTCTCTTTTCCTTCTTCATTCCTTGTTTCCTTCTGCCTCTCTTTCCTTCTTCATTCCTTGTTTCCTTCTGCCTCTTTTCCTTCTTCATTCCTTGTTTCCTTCTTCTCTTCCTTCTTCATTCTTTTTTTTCTTTCTGCCTCTCTTTTTGCTTCTTCTTTCCATTTTTCCTGCTTCTTTTTTCTTCTTCATTCCTTGTTTCCTTCTGCCTCTCTTTTCCTTCTTCATTCCTTGTTTCCTTCTGCCTCTCTTTTCCTTCTTCATTCTTTGTTTCCTTTCTCTCTTTTCCTTCTTCATTCCTTGTTTCCTTCTGCCTCTCTTTCCTTCTTCATTCCTTGTTTCCTTCTGCCTCTCTTTCCTTCTTCATTCCTTGTTTCCTTCTGCCTCTCTTTACTTCTTCTTTCCATGTTTCCTTCTGCTTTTTTTTTTTCTTCTTCATTCCTTGTTTCCTTCTTCCTCTTTTTCCTTCTTCATTCTTTGTTTCCTTCTGACTCTTTTGCTTCTTCTTTCCATGTTTCCTTCTGCTTCTTTTTTCTTCTTTTCTTTGTTTCCTTCTGCCTCTCTTTCCTTCTTCATTCTTTCGTTTTCTTCCACCTCTTTCTTTCTTTCCTTTTTCTTTTTCTGCCTCTCTTCTTTTCTTTCCATGTTTCCTTCTGCTTTTTTTCTTCTTCATTCCTTGTTTCCTTCTGCCTCTCTTTCCTTCTTCATTCCTTGTTTCCTTCTGCCTCTCTTTCCTTCTTCATTTTTGTTTCCTTTCTGCCTCTTTTCCTTCTTCATTCTTTGTTTCCTTTCTCTCTTTCCTTTTTCATTCCTTGTTTCCTTCTGCCTCTCTTTCCTTTTCATTCCTTTTTGTTTCCTTCTTTCCTTTTCATTCCTTGATTCCTTCTGCCTCTCTTTCCTTCTCCATTCTTTGTTTCCTTTCTTTCTTTTTCCTTCTTCATTCCTTGTTTCCTTCTGCCTCTCTTTCCTTCTTCATTCCTTGTTTCCTTCTGCCTCTCTTTCCTTCTTCATTCCTTGTTTCCTTCTGCCTCTCTTTCCTTCTTCATTCTTTGTTTCCTTTCTCTCTTTCCTTCTTCATTCCTTGTTTCCTTCTGCCTCTCTTTCCTTCTTTCTTCTTGTTTCCTTCTGCCTCTCTTTCCTTCTTCATTCCTTGTTTCCTTTTCTCTTTCCTTCTTCATTCCTTGTTTCCTTCTGCCTCTCTTTCCTTCTTCATTCCTTGATTCCTTCTCCTTCTTTCCTTCTTCATTCCTTGTTTCCTTCTGCCTCACTTTACTTCTTCTTTCCATGTTTCCTTCTGCTTCTTTTTTCTTCTTCATTCCTTGTTTCCTTCTGCCTCTCTTTCCTTCTTCATTCTTTGTTTCCTTCTGACTCTCTTTACTTCTTCTTTCCATGTTTCCTTCTTTTCTTTTTTCTTCTTCATTCCTTGTTTCCTTCTTTCCTTCTTTTTCCTTCTTCATTCTTTTTTCCTTCTGCCTCTCTTTACTTCTTCTTTCCATGTTTCCTTCTGCCTCTTTTCCTTCTTCATTCCTTGTTTTCTTCTGCCTCTCTTTCCTTCTTCATTCTTTTTTTTCCTTTCTCTCTTTCCTTCTTCATTCTTGTTTCCTTCTGCCTCTCTTTCCTTCTTCTTTCCTTGTTTCCTTCTGCCTCTCTTTTTCTTCATTCTTTGTTTCCTTTCTCTCTTTCCTTTTCATTCCTTGTTTCCTTCTGCCTCTCTTTCTTTTTCATTCCTTGTTACCTTCTGCCTCTCTTTCCTTTTCATTCCTTGATTCCTTCTGCCTCTCTTTCCTTCTTCATTCTTTGTTTCCTTTCTCTCTTTCCTTGTTTCCTTCTGCTTCTCTTTCCTTCTTCATTCCTTGTTACCTTCTGCCTCTCTTTCCTTCTTCATTCCTTGTTTCCTTCTGCCTCTCTTTCATTCTTCATTCTTTGTTTCCTTTCTCTCTTTAATTTTTCATTCCTTGTTTCCTTCTGCCTCTCTTTCCTTTTCATTCCTTGTTACCTTCTGCCTCTCTTTCCTTTTCATTCCTTGTTTCCTTCTGCCTCTCTTTCCTTCTTCATTCCTTGTTTCCTTCTGCTTCTCTTTACTTCTTCTTTCCATGTTTCCTTCTGCTTCTTTTTTCTTCTTCATTCCTTGTTTCCATCTGCCTCTCTTTCCTTCTTCATTCCTTGTTTCCTTCTGCCTCTTTTCCTTCTTCTTGCCATGTTTTCTTTCTGCTTCTTTTTTCTTCTTCATTCCTTGTTTCCTACTGCTTCTCTTTCCTTCTTCATTCCTTGTTTCCTTCTGCCTCTCTTTCCTTCTTCATTCTTTGTTTCCTTCTGCCTCTCTTTACTTCTTCTTACCATGTTTCCTTCTGCTTCTTTTTTCTTCTTCATTCCTTGTTTCCTTCTGCCTCTCTTTCCTTCTTCATTCCTTGTTTCCTTCTGCCTCTCTTTACTTCTTCATTCCTTGTTTCCTTCTGCCTCTCTTTCCTTCTTCATTCTTTGTTTCCTTTCTCTCTTTCTTTTTTCATTCCTTGTTTCCTTCTGCCTCTCTTTCCTTTTCATTCCTTGTTACCTTCTGCCTCTCTTTCCTTTTCATTCCTTGATTCCTTCTGCCTCTCTTTCCTTCTTCATTCTTTGTTTCCTTTCTCTCTTTCCTTCTTCATTCCTTGTTTCCTTCTGCCTCTCTTTCCTTCTTCATTCCTTGTTTCCTTCTGCCTCTCTTTCCTTCTTCATTCCTTGTTTCCTTCTGCCTCTCTTTCCTTCTTCATTCTTTTTTTCCTTTCTCTCTTTCCTTTTTCATTCCTTGTTTCCTTCTGCCTCTCTTTCCTTTTCATTCCTTGTTACCTTCTGCCTCTCTTTCCTTTTCATTCCTTGATTCCTTCTGCCTCTCTTTCCTTCTTCATTCCTTGTTTCCTTCTGCCTCTCTTTCCTTCTTCATTCCTTGTTTCCTTCTGCCTCTCTTTACTTCTTCTTTCCATGTTTCCTTCTGCTTCTTTTTTCTTCTTCATTCCTTGTTTCCTTCTGCCTCTCTTTCCTTCTTCATTCCTTGTTTCCTTCTGCCTCTCTTTCCTTCTTCTTGCCATGTTTCCTTCTGCTTCTTTTTTCTTCTTCATTCCTTGTTTCCTTCTGCTTCTCTTTCCTTCTTCATTCCTTGTTTCCTTCTGCCTCTCTTTACTTCTTCTTTTCCATTTTCCTTCTGCTTCTTTTTTCTTCTTCATTCCTTGTTTTCCTTCTGCCTCTCTTTCCTTCTTCATTCCTTGTTTCCTTCTGCCTCTCTTTCCTTCTTCTTGCCATGTTTCCTTCTTTCTTTTTCTTCTTCATTCCTTGTTTCCTTCTGCCTCTCTTTCCTTCTTCATTCCTTGTTTCCTTCTGCCTCTCTTTCCTTCTTCATTCCTTGTTTCCTTCTGCCTCTCTTTCCTTCTTCATTCCTTGTTTCCTTCTGCCTCTCTTTCCTTCTTCATTCTTTGTTTCCTTTCTCTCTTTCCTTTTTCATTCTTTGTTTCATTCTGCCTCTTTTTCTTTCTTCATTCTTTGTTTCCTTCCACTCTTTCTTTCTTCATACTTTCCTTCGTTCTGCCTCTCTTTCCTTTTTCATTCATTGTTTCCTTCTGCATCTCTTTCCTATTTCATTTCTAGTTTCCTTACATCTTTCCTTGTTCATTACTTGTTTTCTTCAACTTTTTCTTTCTTCATTCTTTGTTTCTTTCTGCCTCTCTTTCCTTCTTCTTGCCATGTTACCTTCTGCATCTTTTTACTTCTTCATTCCTTGATTCCTTCTGCCTCTCTTTCCTTCTTCATTCCTTGTTTCTTTCTGCCTCTCTTTCCTTCTTCTTGCCATGTTTCCTTCTGCATTTTTTCTTCTTCATTCCTTGTTTCCTTCTGCCTCTCTTTCCTTCTTCATTCTTTGTTTCCTTTCTCTCTTTCCTTTTTCATTCCTTGTTTCCTTCTGCCTCTCTTTTTTACTTCTTCTTTCCATGTTTCCTTCTTTCTTTTTTTTCTTCTTCATTCCTTGTTTCCTTCCCTTCTTTCCTTTTCATTCCTTCATTCTGCCTCTCTTTTCTTTTTCATTCCTTGTTTCCTTCCACTTTTCTTTCTTTATTTTCCTTCCACCTCTTTTCTTTTTTCATTCATTGTTTCCTTCTGGTCTCTTTCCTTCTTCTTGCCATGTTTTTCTGCTTCTTTTTTCTTCTTCATTCCTTGTTTCCTTCTGCCTCTCTTTCCTTCTTCATTCCTTGTTTTCTTCCACTCTTTCTTTCTTCATTCCTTGTTTCTTTCTGCCTCTCCTTCCTTCTTCTTTCCTTGTTTCCTTCTGCTTCTTTCACCTTCTTCATTACTTGTTTCCTTCTGCCTCTCTTTCCTTTTCATTCCTTGTTTCATTCTGCCTCTCTTTCTTTCTTCATTCTTTGTTTCCTTCAATCCTTTCTTTCTTCATACTTTCCTTCGTTCTGCCTCTCTTACCTTTTTCATTCCTTGCTTCCTTCTGCCTCTCTTTCTTTCTTCATTCCTTTTTTCCTTCCACTCTTTCTTTCTTCATTCCTTGTTTCTTTCTGCCTCTCTTTCCTTTTCATTCCTTGCTTCCTTCTGCCTCTTTTTCTTTCTTCATTCTATGTTTCCTTTCTCTATTTCCTTTTTCATTCCTTGTTTCATTCTGCCTCTCGTTCTTTCTTCATTCCTTGTTTCCTTCTGCCTCTCTTTCCTTCTTCATTACTTGCTTCCTTCTGCCTCTTTTTCCTTTTTCATTCCTTCTTT